TGTTATGATACTGTACATGACGTCCTCCACCCCAGAACGTTTCCGTCGTTCCGGTTTTGGGGTGTGACACGATGTACTCTAAACATCCTAGCAGTTGCGCTCTAAGGATAGTATCGGCAGCTGCGCCTAATAGAGAACATCATAACCCTGGCAGCTGCGCCTAATAGAGAATGTCACAATTCTTGCAGCTGCGCCTAAATGATAATATTGGCAGCTGTGCTTATTAGATAATATTGACAGCTGTGTCATTGGCAACGATGGACTTCGTGCCTACTCCTTAGGACAATCCTTAGGACTGAATGAGTGAATGATAAATGATTCTTAGGGTAGATCCTTAAGAAATAAAGAAGATAATGGGGATGAGTAATTGGGTTGATTGTTTAATGATTAAACATAATTATATTATTGTCGGTTGAAAACCCTATGTACTCACCAGGTTTCCCAACCTGACCCACTCAGTTTATTTGTATCATAGGTATCGATATAAAGCTGCACTACACTGAGAGATTAAAGAGGTGTAGATCACTAGTGTAAATGAATGTAAGTTCTGTTTATGCTTATGTTTCTGTATTGACGATGACATCCCAAAGTTTTAAAATGAATAACATACATTTCTTCGGAAATGCTTTGATAACATATTTATCATGTTTTTCTGGGAACAAATTCCGCAACACTTTTCTTTAAAAGGTTACTCTGATTTTAAAATAAGCATAAATAAAATTTTTAAAATGACCGTGAATTTGGGGATGTCACAATATTTACCTGAAACTTGATGTTACATTTTTGGCACTTTCAGCCACTTCCTTAAGGAACTTGTTAACTTTCCTTATCATTTCCTCGACATTGTTCCACTTTCTTCACACTAACTTTCTAGATAACTCTCCTTCCAATAATTTGTATGTAAAAGCTTCTATAATCATGGGGTTATCACGGGTAGGCGTCTTCCTACTTATTTTATAGAATCGTTTGAAGTACGCTCTATTCGATTAACCTTCCTTTTGTCGACAAGCAAATAAAACATGTGATTGTCGCCGAAACCTCCATTGTTCTATTAGTCTATTACAAAACTTTGTACATAACTCTTCGAAACTTTCAATTTTTTTTATTAGGAGACTGGCTAGCCAATCTCATGCCAATCCATCAAGTATCCCAACGAAATAGAGACTCCACAGCTTGGGATCCATGATTGCCCATTGAAATTTCGAAACATGATCATCTGAGTCTCTAGTACCGTCGTATAGCTGTACTCTAGGTCCCTTGAGCCCACTAGGATTTAGTGTTTCGTTTATATCGTCTATGAACGAAGATCTAATATTGAGGTTATAGAAAGATTTGTTATATTCCTTGACTTTTATAGAGCCTCGTGGAATCCTCGTCGCTTGTTTCATCTTTCTCTACAGCTTCATCTTTGTCGTGATTTTGCCGATCCTTCACCACTTTACTTTTGGAATCACTGGAATCATACATATGTACGGACACACGATCCCAATCCTTCTTGGTATGTGTTTTTGTTTTACTTTTTCTGCTTGTCGCTTTTTCTTAACCTTATATTTCTTGAAAGCCTCGAATTGCTCTATTTCTTGTTCTTCGGTCATAGATACTTCCACGTTCCCTATGGGTTGAGCTTCTGGACCAAGAGGTGTCACTACGTTCCTATTTCTTGCCACCGTAGTTACTTGGGGCATGTATGCGGGAGCTTCTAAAATTTGCATTCTCGGGATTGGATTTGAGTCGACGATTGGATCAATATTGGTGACCATTTGTTGTGTGGTCCTACAGATGGCGCCACTTGATGCAACTCAAGTTTTCCTGCCTTTGAGATAGATCCGGGTGTGACTATCTCACAGAGAGTTGATGTTTCGAACTTAAAAAGCACCACAACTTGTTAGGCGCTCACCACGAGAAGGTCATTGGAGAACGTTTTGATGGTCATGGGTGCGTTGACGAGGGGCAAAGTGGGCAGCTGCACAGGGCCCAATTTTATTCATTATATATTTTTATTTAAAAATAAAAAATTATAATAAATATAAGGGCCCTTTTTTCTTGTTCGTCCTGGGCCTTTGAGAATATTTAATTTTTCAGGACTGGCCTTACTGATGGTTAAGTCAGATAACTAACAAATATTAAATCTATGTAATTCCTTAAACGTGTTTGTTATTGTGTACCTGTGTATCTCGTCTTGGTCAATCTTTATACTTATTTTATCAGGAAGTGTTCTCATTAGCTGGACCGAACAAGCCCCAGTCTAGTCGTCATTAATGCTCTTCTTGACGAAGGTACAAATGGTTGCATTTAGAAAAATTCATTAGTCACTTTCGATAGAACATGTGTATTGTTACGATTTTCAATGGTAGTTTACAGCATGTTTGTTGGTGATATTGATGTTTATCTGTCTTAGTCTTGCCGGTTTGCATACGCGATCATTATTACTTTCTAATAGCCTGACTATTCGCTCCTCAGCTCGGCATAATATTTGCTCAATGAAGGGTTCGGCCTGTTCGATAAGCGTATTCACGGTTCGGTCTTGCCGAACCATGTAGAGGTTACATGGCCGATCCAACATATACCTTATTAGTATGCTTGGGCGTAAGCTAGTAAAAACACTTTTAGAGGCTAATTTTGTAATAAAACCTAATGGTCTGCATAATAATGATGATTTGTTAGTTAATATTACCGAGTTTCAGAAACTCATAGGAAAGTTAATCTATATCTAGGTTACTAGACCAGGTATATCATATAGTGTTCAAATTCTGAGTCAATACATGCATAAGCCTAGAAATTCACATTTAAATGTTACTTTCGGTCTGTTAAGATATCTTAAAAGTAGTCCCGGTAAAGGTGTTTCTATAACAAAGTCAGAATAGTTTAACATAATGAGTTGATTTGGCAAAGTGTTTGTCAACTAGAAGGTCGGTTACTAGTTATATGGTTTGTATTAGTACTTCTTTGGCTTCATGGAAAAGTAAGAAACAACCTACTATTTCGAGGTATTCAACTTAGGATCTATAACTTGTGAAATTATTTGGATTTCAAAAACTTTGTTTGAACTTGGAATAAAGGAATTAACTCCGGTTAATGTATTTTTCGACAATGATTTTGCAATTAAGCTTGATTTAAATCCAATACTTCATGAAGAAACTACCCTTAGAAGTTGATTTACATTTTGTAAGGGAAAAAATAACGAAAGTAATTTTGAAGGTAGTTAAAATTGACCGAAAGAATTGACTTAATTGATGTGTTTCATAAAAAGACTTAAAATAAAACATTTACGTTGAGGGGGAATGTTGAAATATGTAAGGTTTATTATGCAATCTTAAAATTTAGTTGTATTTTTGGTAGTTGTTGTGGTTTATTTGTTTGCAAGGTAGATTTTGTCGATTTGGAATCATTGGTTTTTTATTGTTTATGGTTACAGGGTCAATACTGTTATTATGGGAAAGACTTGGATTGGGGCTTGTTTATTGGTAGCTTTGCAAGAATAAACACGCGGATGCTAATAACCCATAGGTCATCAGGTGACCCGACTATATGAAGGTAAACGGAGAGCAACTGAGGTCATTTCAACTCCCCTTACTTTCACACATTCTCACATATTCTCTCTAGCTAGTTCTCTTGTTTGCTTCTCTTAGAGAATTAGGGTTTTATACCAATTTCATTAGGTTATTAGCTAGGTTTTCGAGAGTGAGTGTGATTTGTAAGTAAATGAAAACCAAGTGGGTCGTATCATTAACAAAAGAGATTTGTTGATGTCAAGAAGTTTATGAGTTTTTACATAAGGAACTTGATTAAAAAAAAACTCTTGATAAAGAAGCAAGATTGAATAATTTTATCAACAAGAATAAATAGCATCTTTTAGTGGAAAGGTAATTTGGACAATTTAGGTTTTATTTCAGGTAGAAGGGTAAGTTTGTAATTTTTGTCCTGTGGTTGTTTGTTATGTGAATACTATTTAGCTAATAGTGGAAGAGGAGAATATCATCTTTTGTGAAATCTGGTATTGATACCTTGAGGTGTGGCTAGGCTCTCGATAGTCTAACCTCTCTCTAGCAAATCATTATGGTTCTTGTTTATTTTGTGTGTTATTTTGAGTATTAATTAAGTTAGTAAAGCTTGTTTATCTGTTTTTATTTTCTGATTTCATATCATACTCATCCAATTAGTAATTACTCTACATTGTATATTCTATTAAAATTAATGAAAATACTTCACCTGGATATGTTTTCTAAGAACCCTCCTTTTATTTAGTGCTAGTTTTTGCACAAGTGGAGGAAGAAAGGCAACTGAAAAAAGCAACAGATGCCAACAACAAAAAAAGCACGAAGCTCTCCTGTCAAAGATAGAGCTCGACTTTCAACGCCACAAAGATAACCTCCAAAGACTCGAACAAGAACTCTCACCACGTCTCAAAACCATGTCAACCAACTCAGACAAACAAGACTCAACCACTAATCTATCTATACCCCACACACCCCAAATGGGTCCCACCCAACCATTGCAAGAATGCTCCATGAACTCGACAATCTTGATGATTTCTGATGAAAAAGAAACCATGATCCATCGCGATTGCATAATCGGTTTGAAAGATGAGCTTTCTGTGGTATTCTTGCCTTGTGCTCATCAGGTTCTTTGTGCGACTTGCAATGATGAATATGGAACAAAACGGATGGCCAAGGCCACATGTCCAATCTTCAGGGTCGCTATTGAACAGAGATTCGTGTTTTTGGGGCCACCTCTTAACTCTTAAGCCAACTGATTATAAATTTATAATTTGAAGAGTAGTTTATTAAGGTGGTGATGTATATACAGAACGCACTATTGGTATTTTTTTTCATGTGGTGTTGAATCAAGCTGTGGTTAAAACAACATTACCGTGTTTATAAATAAGCTCATAAGCTTTTTTGCACTTTGTAGTGCATTTCACATGATAAAAAGAATCCTTTTTTCTTTTGAGTAGAAGCCAGCTGTAATAATTTGTTGCACCAAAAAATAGAACAAATATCCATTTGCAAAAGACTTAAATGCACTTGTTATCATCATATCATTATTGAAAATAGTACTTATCGAAAAGTTTGTTATCCAAAAGTTTGTTCAATCCAGTCCAGCCCTATCATATAATAAATAATATTAGTTTTAGTGATGTCAAGGAGAAACTAAAACATGTAATTTATAAATCTTGAATTTAAATTTCTAACCTATAACAATATAAATAGTTATACCCTGGTTAACATACACAACAGTTTCGATTTGAGAGGCACCATGTCATGATCAAAGGGCCTTTGCCCTTTGGTGTTTGCTGACATTGCTGTACCAAATAATTTAGATGGGTCACGATGGGCAATTGACTGGTGAGAGAGCTTGATACGTTACTTTCGATTATTGAATGAATATCTTTTTAACTTGTTCCTTTTGATTATTGAATTTCTTTTTAATTTCTACAATGAGCATCGATCGACATAAACTAATTAGTGGGTCTGAAGATATTATTATATACATATAGATAGATAAGAGAATATTTTTTTCTATACGCAAGTCACATTCATAAGATTGCGATCTAAAGTTTGAACTAATATCCTAGCTCAATAAGGCTTTGCCTTTTAGATTAGTGGTCTCGAGTCTCTAACCCTGGCATGAACAATCTCGTGATACTAACTGCTAACCACTAATCCCGCCTTTCAAAAATTAATAATAATAATAATAATAATAATAATGACATTTCATGTTCAAAAATTATATGTTTGTTGAATTGTTGCATAACCACTCAAACTTTGTTAAACCAAATCATACTAAGATAAAACTGATTTGGCTCGATTCTGTTAATAGCTTTTATGGTTCTATTCTTTCAACACCTTTTATAGTGCAAAAATATTATAACAGGTAGTTACCAAATGAGAAAGAAACTGAAAGGGACATTTGCTAGCCTGTTACTATAACAATTAAATTAATTACAACTTTAGCTTAAATGTCAGTGTTAGGTCAACCATTAAAAATTAAACCGAAATATTGACAAACATATTTTTTATTCTCTTTACCTTCTAACTCGTAAATGTTTACTTTTGTCGCATTTGAAATTCCCCTACACTACACCCGATGACAAAATGCAACCTACCCAATCACATATCAACACATACAGACCAAAGAGTTCATTTTTAACTTTTATACGTATTTTTAAACATATGAAATATATAGAGTTTCTATTAAAAAAAGCAAACTGAAATCATGCTATAAGTAATGTCTCAAATCACTATCGTTATCATAAACCCAAAAAAAAATATACGTGGTTGTTGTTATCTCATAGGCAATCATTAATTCTTAAAGAAACTAAATAAATCGGTATATTGTCATTCACATATATATGTATATTCAACACAATAAATGATTTTTAAATATGTACATGTCCTTAAATTCTCTCACTTTCAAACGGAAGAACATGTGGACGCACAAAAATCATCCGTCTTCCACACAATGACACAAAACACCTATAAATACAACAAAAGCTTCAGGGTATCATATGCTGCTTAGTGCTTAAAGTATATCTCCTTTATCAAGAAACCCAGAAGTTGTTTATCAAGAAACCTTGAATGCAAAGTAGGACATGACGATCGAGTCTTTAAAACAGAAACCTAGTACTTTCATGCAGAAGACGAAAGGATTTCTGGGTTCCTTATGTGGTAAAATATGGAAAGTGGGTAGAGATGATCCGAGAAGGGTAATCCACGCTCTTAAAGTCGGGTTTTCTGTAACTGCAGTCTCTTTGTTGTACCTAATGGAGCCATTGTTCAAAGGAGTCGGAGAAAATGCGATTTGGGCAGTCATGACTGTTGTCGTTGTTCTCGAATTCACTGCTGGTAAGTTATATATATATATATATATATATATATATATATATATATATATATATATATATATATACACGTACATACAGGTACTTATATACAGTATAATCATAATGTATATATACTTATTGTACTATAATTTGATATGATAGGGGCAACTTTATGCAAAGGATTCAATCGAGGGTTTGGGACGATGTTAGCAGCATCGTTGGCTTTCTTATTCGAGTTTATAGCTCGAGAATATGGAAAGGTTTTTCGTGCTGGTTTCATTGGAGCTTCGATTTTCTTGATTGGTAATACAAATAAACAAGAATCGTTTCGTATTTGTAGTTTAATTTAATGCCACAAATATGGAGTGGTGAAACTATTTTGTTTCATTTTTTATTTTTCACAGGCACATCGACTACATTTTTGAGATTTTTCCCCAAAGTAAAAAAGAACTATGACTACGGTGTATTAGTATTTCTGTTGACGTTTAACTTGATTACTGTATCGAGTTATCGAGTGGATGATGTTATGAAACTAGCCAAAGGGCGGACATATATGATCGGCATTGGTTCTGGGATTTGCATTCTGATGAGTCTCTTCATCTTCCCAAATTGGTCCGGAGAAGATCTCCATAATCACACAGTTTCCAAAATTGAAGGACTTGCAAAATCAATCGAAGGTATACATCAATATACTTCAAAATATTTGCTTTCGTTTGTTTAAAAAATTTACTTATTCGTGTTTTCAAATGTGTAAACGAAATGTAGCTTGTGTCACTACATACTTCAGTGAAGATGAACGGGATGTAGAAAGAGATGAGATGATATCGGAGGATCAGATTTATGAGAATTATAAGGCGGTTTTGGACTCTAAATCGACCGATGAAACGCTCGTAAGTTTTCTTATTTTATTAGTATTTCTTAAAAACAAAAATTTTAAGAACAATTTAATTAAAGATTCCTTTTATTTAATGAGGTAATAGTCGAAGATGTTATTAATTATTAATGTTGTTATACATACGTACGAACAGGCGCACCATGCAAGTTGGGAGCCTAGATACACGTGGCAGTGCCACAAATTTCCGGGGCAACAATACGTGAAAATAGGAAGCGTTCTTCGTCATTTTGGGTACGGAGTTGTTGCTCTTCGTGGAAGTTTACAAACCGAAATACGAGTGAGTACATTATTATGTGATGGATAAATTAAAAACCGAATGAATAATTTCTTATTTTGTATGGCGTAGATTATAGATGACATGCATTATCTAACCACTGAAAAGCTATCTCTAAAAGAATAAATATCTATTTACTAAGAATAATTTATTCATTTATCAATAAATAAATAAGTCTGCTAAATGAATATTCTTTTCCGATCTCAAGGGAATCAACCTAGCCTTTTATTTACAGCTTGCTAAATAAGTTATTTCTGTTAAGATCTAATAATATAATTTGCATGAGGTTAGGTTCTTTTTTTAAAAGAAATTAGTTCAAGAACATGCTATTAGATCTTTAATTTCAGCATATATTTTTGAAATACGAACAAACACTAGAGCTGACAAAAACTCACTTGGCATGCTAACTCGATACGAAATAAACAGGTTTGAGTAATCAATTTCGATTTTAAAACACGACAGTAAAATTAAATATTTAAGATTATGGTTAAACTCTTTCAACCCGACACGACACGTTTATAAGATCTAAACCCCAAACCTAATAAAACAACACGAAATAAACAAGTTTGAGTTAAAGAGATTAACCTGTTAAAGAAAACAGTTTGATATACGATACGAAAATTAAATGAGTAAATAATCAAACTCTTTCAACATGACACGGCACATTTATTAATAAGTCTATCAAAACACTGCATAATGACAAAGGTGATTTCATTTTTTAAATATGATGATATAGAGCTCTTTAGAACCATGGCGACACTAGTGTCAAAAGGGAATCATATTATTGTAGTTCCTCATTGTTATTACTTTTCTTAATAGGGTGATTTGTGGTGACTGGAGAGTAGATTAACTTTTTAGTATAAGGAACTAACAATAGTTATCAAGTCATTTATAGTTGTTTTCGTTGGAGTTTAGCACAATCTCATTCACCTAGACATATATGTTGGGGGTCTGTCATTTGTCTTTATGACTTTTTTGAAGAAAAATCTAGAATTTATATTTAAATGTTATTATTTTATTCATGGGTTGCTTTGATGATGTTGATCTAAATGTTTTCAATATGATAATGTATTTTGGTTTATTTTTTCAGACTCCAAGATCAGTTAGATTGCTATTCAAGGATCCATGCATTCACCTTGCATCGGAAGTAACAAAATCCCTAATGGAGCTTGCCTATAGCATAAGAAACCGACGGCACTGCTCGCCGGAACTCCTCACCGAGCCGCTTCAACAAGCACTGCAAGACCTTGACGTTGCATTAAAGTCACAACCACGGCTCTTTCTCGGGCCAAATACAGCTCAAAACACACCCAAAATGTTAGCCATGCTTACATCGACAGCAAGACAAAAGTATGAACACCATTTTTCAAGCATAAACGCGGACCCACCTACCTCTATTGATAGGAAACCGAAGGGGGTTCCGGATGGCGCAGGGAAATTTTTAAGGCCATCATTAAGTAAGTTTGCGATCACAAGCTTGGAGTTTTCCGAAGCGCTTCCAATTGCTGCTTTTGTATCCTTGTTGGTCGAGTTGGTTGCAAGACTTGATCTTGTAATTGAGGAAGTTGAAGAATTAGGAAGGGTGGCTTGTTTTAAAGAGTTTAAACATGGAGATGATGTGATTTTAGATGTTGATAGGAGAAAATCAACGGAGATAAATCTTACTAGTTTTGCCTCGGCGGAGTGAGTTGATGGGCCTAATGGTCTATTGAATTTTTGGTATAAATATAAGTGTTAAAGTATCCCATATCGACACGACACGATCACATAAATATTTATATGTGTTGGAGTTCCACTCTCTCCTTAAAGGCTCTTTTGGAGGGTAAATCAAAAACTCCACATATATCATACAATAAGAATCTTGAATGTTTGATACCACCAAGGTGGTAAAGAAAATACAATTTTGATCGTTTTGGTGGCTTCAATGTGTAGATGGATTTGATATAAATATAGGTTTGTATCAGTGTTTTTATTGATGTATGGATATCGATTAATAAAAATATATAATTCTAATCAAGTAAGAAATTTATATTCTAACATCTAGATGGTATCAATGTTCTACAAAAGAGAATTTTATCAAAAATTAATATATAAAGATGAACTTGGGACGTATAAACTTAGGTTATCCATAACGGTGTTTCAACTTGAATTGCAAGTGTGGTTTGCAATCCATATAAGCTTTGATCTTTTACATCATGAAAGCCTTGCAATTCAATGTGTTGGCTCCACCACTACACCATGTTCTCTTTCATTGCTTTTTCTCTCTTTGGTAATACGTAGGAGTAGGACTATACAAGTTTGCTAAAATTATGATCTCTTACAATCCTAACATCTATGTTGGGACAAGAAACCCAGATTTGACATGCATAAATGATAAGAACACAATCGACACGATAGTTTGGGTGCTAAAAGATATATTTGATCATAATGAGGAGTTACAAAAAGGAACTAGATCTAGTATAAATAATTAAATCAACTCACAACTCTCAATGAACTACATCTCTCAAGTACACTCTACAAATGATATGACATTCACTATATATAAAGGTACAAGTATAAGTCTCATTATCTAGTCACAAGACAAATAACCCACATGTTATAAAAGGCTCATTAGCATCATCCTTGTAGAACTTTGCATCTAACATTCTCCCCTAAAAGTTTGGAATATATGACAAGGCTTCAACTTCCAAAACGAGCATCTAGTAAATATGAAGTGTAATCATGAAAAGGAATATCAAAGAAATCCACGAATCTCGATTTTTCAATAGTCTTCAAAACGAGTTCTAGGTTACAAGAATGCAAAACCAAGCACCAAAGGTAGTATCAACCTCAACCCAAAGAGCTTCAAATGGATATTCGACCTTCATCTCCTACAGTAATCCCAAAGATAAACATGAAACCAAACTTGCCATAAAACCACTTCAGAACCAAAATTCCAAATCACTTCATAACCATGAAGAACTTGAAAGATCTTTATCCCCAAGAGTCATTATAGAATGATATTGTTAATGACATATGATCCTATAGAGTCACACCTTATAGAAAGTTACTACTAACTGGTTATTTATTATTAATTTGATTATTAATAAATAAAATCAACACTTTGTATTTAATTGGAAAATTATTATTTCATGAAATAAAATTTTAACGACTAATTGGGAAGTTATTATTTATGGAAATAATATTTTTAGAGAAATAACAACTTGTAAATCATAAGGCATGATTTTATAAGATGTGTACATTTTATTGAACTGGTTAGAATTTATTTATATATAAGTTAGTTTTTATATAAAAGAGATGTATAAATATATGTTAGTTTATAATATGGAGTGAATGGCATACAAGGTTGACTTCTTTGTCCTTAAAACCGTCCACCTCATAGAGGTGTGATGGTTTGAGTGTTGTGTTCATCCTCTTCCTTGCCATACCTCTTGAATGTACCATACTTTGACTTTGTTAGAAGCATGGTCCACCTCATGGAGGTGTGATGGTTTACTCTTGCTTAGTGGATACATGTAGAGAGCTTTTTCTTTGGAGTTTCTAACCATTTTCATCAACTTCCTAATTGTCAAAAGGAATCAAAGTCTTCAAAGGTTGTAAATATTTTCCTTTCTATGGTTGTTTTAATCTTTCTAAGCTTTACAAAATGATCATTGGTGGGTAAAATGGTTTAACTTTATTCAAATGCAAAATTGCTTCTGTTGCTAAACTCATAGTTTTGACTATTTTTTAGACTATTTTTTTTAATAAAACCCAACAATTGTATCAAAGCCATTTTTGGAAGCTTGGTAAGATTTTTTTGATAATATGTTATTATCTTTGTTTTAGGAAAACATTGATGGTTTTCTTTTTTTGTAATAAAATCCGTACATATTTTCTATGACAACTTTATAATTGTTATTTTTTAGTGACAAAAGTTTACATGCATTTTTGTCACCAAAGGTTGCCTTAGAAAAACAAAGTGTTGTTTTATATAATTTTGATTGTGTAGGTGTGTGTGTGTGTATATATATA